TTTCTTTCTTTCTTTCTTTCTTTCTTTCTTTCTTTCTTTCTTTCTTTCTTTCTTTCTTTCTTTCGAGACAGGATTTCTCTGTGTAGTCCTAGCTGAATTGAAACTCACTCTGTAGACCAGGCTGACTTTGAACTCACAGAGATCCACCTGCCTCTGCCTCCCAAGTGCTGGGATCACAGGCATGTATCACCACTCCAACTGTTTGTTACTACTTTTTAAATTATTTTATGTATCTATGTATCTATGGCTGCTTTGCCTGGACATCTGTCTGGGCACCACGTCCATGCCCAGTACCTAAAGAAGCTAGAAGAGGGCATTGGACACCCTGGAATTGGAGTTCCAGTTGTGAGCCATAATGTGGGTGGTAGGAATTGAACCTGGGTCCTTTGTAAGAACAGGTAGTGATCTTAACCACTGAGCCATCTCTCCAGCCCCTCCACTGTTTCTAGTTGAACTTTTAAATCCAAGTTAATCACACAGTTGCAGCAACTGCAGAGAGAGGTCATGTCACCATCAGCCTCCCCCGTTGTGACATTGAGTGCAATTTTCCTCATTATCAAAACAGAAATTAGCATTGGCACAGTCCAGTTAACAATAAAGTCCACAGAGACCAGGCGAGATGGCTCCACCAATGAAGTGTTTCCCTTACACATATGAGGACCCAGCACCCTTGTGAAAATGACAAGGCATATGTATGGTACGCATTTATAATTCTGGTATTGAGGAAGTGGAAACAAGAGAATCATTGGGGCTTTCTGGCCACCCAGCCTAATTAGTGGGCTTTAGGCTAATGAGAAATCCCATCTCAAAGGAGGTAGACATTGCTTTTTGTTGTTGTTTGTTTTTGTTTTTGTGTAAGGTCAAACTATATACCCCGGCCCCAGGACTTACTATATAGACCAGGCTGGGCCTCAAACTCACAGAGATCTGCCTGCTTCTGCCTCAGGAGTGCTGATCTGTCTGTCTGTCATCTATCACGTGTGTGGAAAGTGTGCAAGTATACATGCTATAATGCCTATGGGGAGGTCCAGGGACAGCTTTCAGGAGTCCGTTCTCTCCCCCCACCACGGGCTCCAGAATTACCCGTAGGTTGCCAGGCTTGTGTGGCAAATGTCTTTACCAGCTAAGCCACCTCACAGGCCTGAAGTTGGCTTTTCTAAAAAGCCAGAAGCCAAGGGTAGTGTTACACACCTTTAATCCCAGCATTGGGGAGGCAGAGACAGGTGGATCTCTATGGGTTCAAGACTAGCCAGCTCTACAGAGTGAGTTCCTGGACAGCCAGGGCTACACAGAGATACCCTGTCTTGGAAAAAAAAAAAAAAAGACAACTAGAATAACAAAGTGTTTGAAGTTTATTCAAGTTGTCTTGTGTGTCGATGATTCCTCTTTATTGCTGACTACAATTCTATCTTACAGATGTAGTATTATTGGTTTAGATTTTTGTTTTTTTGTTTTTGGGTCCTTCTGTGTAGCCGTGGCTAGCCTGGAACTTGCTCTGTTGACCAGGCTGTCCTCAGTCTCACAGAGATCTGCTGCCTCTGCCTTCTGAGTGCTGCAATCAAGGGTGTGCACCCACACTCCCAGCTGGTTGTTAATTCAGTTTTTGTTTTGTTTTCTTCCTTGTTTTTATTGCTTTTGAGACAGGGTTTCTCTGTGTAGCTCTGGCTGTCCTGGACTCACTCTATAGACCAGGCTGGCCTCGAACTCTGAGATCTATGTGCTTCTGCCTCCCGAGTGCTGGGATCACAGGGGTGGGTGCGCCCCTGGGCCTGGCTTACTGGTTCAGTTTTATGAAAGGTCTTTTCTCGTATATGGGAGAAAAAGGGGCTTGAGGACAGAACTAGACGGTCGACTGGCCCACACTGTGAGCTGCGCCCATGTTGTCTCCTTGTCACAGACCCATATCACTTGATCTTGGTCAGCTTCCTGCCCACTGCTGACCCTGCTCTAGCCACTCCCAACCCCAGCTGTGGTTTTCAGAGACTTCCACAAGCACCCAGAAAAGTGCTGGAGATACATGGAGCCCTGCCTCCCGCACGTGGCCACCTCTTCACAAAGCCTCTCTGTGGCCTCCAACACTCCTGGTCAAGGGGAAGGACTCCCCATACTTGCTCCATTCAAAACACAGCAGCTCCTGTCCAAAGTCCAGCGTGTCACCCTCAGGGTGATACAGCCATAACAGTGTGGATAACAAGGTCCAGGGGAGAGGAAACTGATTTGGGGTTCTAGCTCAGCCACCTGGCTTTCCCTTCCCAGATCAGTCGGTTACCGCTTTTTTTTTTTCTTTTCAAGATTTTTATTTATTATGTAGGCAGTGTTCTGTCTGTGTGTATGCCGACATGCCAGAAGGGGGCACCAGATCTCACTATAGATGGTTGTGAGCACCATGTGGGTGCTGGGAATTGAACTCCAGACCTTTGGAAGAACAGCCAGTCCTCTTAACCTCTGAGCCATCTCTCCAGCAACAGCTTCTTACTTGGCTCTGACCCTGAGGCCTAGATGAGTAGTTAATATTTGCAAGGGAGTGTCTAGAGAGTGCGGGATGAGACACACACACCTACCACAACACACAAACAAAGGCTGTAGACTTGGCCACTGCCAGGCAGAGAGTGGTGCTAGTAACGGGCCAGGGCAGGAGGATGCAGTTTTAGGGAGAGCCCCTCCTTTAAAAAGGACGCAGAGAGGCAGGTAGGATTGGATGGGAAAAGTAGAGACAACGGCAGCTTTGGGAGGAAGCTTGGAGGAGTGGGCAGAAACTCTGAAGCAGGCACAGGAAAAGGGATCTAGGAAGCAGCGATGCTGACATGCAGGTGTGGGTTTGAAATGCGGGCACTGGACTGGGCTGGGTGGCACAGTGAATGAGGTTAGGAAAGGGCCATTCAGCCCTGGGCCAGGGGAGGAGAGGGGCAGGACTGGAGGCATGGCTCGGTGTGCTGGCCACCGGTAGCACTCTCTTCCACCCTCCATCCCTCCCCAGCTCCTCAAGCTGGGCTCCTGCCTCCTGGAGAGTGGGCGGCACTACCTCGCTGCCAGCCGTGCCTTCGTTGCTGGCATTTGTGACCTGGCCCACCTGGGTACGCCGGAGCCCATGATGGCGGTAGGTGATGGTTCTGAGGCGGGGCTGTGGGGCGGGGACTGGGATGGAGAGATGCTGTGGAAGAGGAGGGCTGACCTGGGTCTGCAGGGCCAGGCCAGGGCAACGCTGGGGCCCTCCTCCGAGATGCTCCAGCCTCCGAGACCTGGACTTGTGCAGACCTTGACGTCCCTACTTGGGACTTCCTCTGTGGTTTCTCTTGCCCAGGAATGTCTGGAAAAATTCACTGTGAGTCTGAGCCACAAGCTGGATAGCCATGCTGTGAGTGGGAGCGGGCCCTGGAGGCCGTGGACCGGTGGGGCAGGGCTGGCTAAGGTCTTGACTCTGGCTTGTCCTTCTTTCCACAGGAGCTTCTTGATGCCACTCAGCACACCCTGCAGCAGCAAATCCAGACTCTGGTCAAGGAGTGAGATGGGAGGGGATGGGGCCTTCTTCCTCAGAAACCAGCCTTCCATCTCTCTCCCACAGGGCCTCTCCCAGAGCAGGAGCTTATGAGGGTGTGGGGGGGCGTGACCTCACCCTCTCACCCCAGGATTCCCAGGGTTTCCCCCTCTGCACAGGCTGACTGATAGGGTGTGGGTGGGCCTTACCCTGAGATCTCTCTCTCAGGGCAGGAGGGTAAGTGTGATTTTGTTCTGGCTCCCCCATCTCCAGAGGTCTCCGGGATTTTCGAGAGGCCCGCAGGGATTTCTGGAGAGGAGCTGAGAGCTTGGAGGCTGCTCTTACCCACAATGCAGAGGTCCCCAGGCGCCGCGTTCAAGAAGCAGAGGATGCCGGGACTGCTTTGAGGACCGCTCGATTTGGGTACCGGAGTCGGGCATTGGATTATGCCCTGCAGGTGGGTGCCTGAGCCCAACCCATCATCCAGGATACCGAGATGTCCAGGAGTATGGAGACCCCAGGGTGCGGTGGGAGGAAGTGCTGCCATTTCTAGGCTAACCTGAGGTCTTTCGGGGTCTTCAGGTCAACGTGATTGAGGATAAGAGGAAGTTTGACATCATGGAGTTCGTGAGTTTCAGGGGCAGCCAAGATGGAAGGGAGCCTGCTGACAGAGCAGGAGGGAAGCGGGGGGAGAGGGCTCTCCTTCCTCAGTTCTGCCCCTGCCCACCTTGTCCATCAGGCACTGCGTTTGGTAGAGGCCCAGGCTACCTATTTCCAGCAGGGCCATGAAGAGCTTAACCAGCTGGCACAGTATCGGAAGGAGTTGGGTGCCCAGGTAAGGCCGCTAGCCGTCGGCATAGGGAAATTAGAGCTAAGATGGGCCTGGCTAGAGCAAACTCAGACCTCTGACATTCCCGCCCATGCCCAGTTGCACACCCTGGTCTTGAACTCAGCTCGTGAGAAGAGAGACATGGAACAGAGGCACGTGTTACTGAAGCAGAAGGTGAGGGCTGCGAGCCCCAGGGCTGGGGGTGGGGGGGAGCCAGGGACAAGGACGGGACGCAGGCCTGTGGCTTTGGTCCGTGCCTGTCCCGGCTGTCTTTGATCCTCTTGTGCTCCAGGAGCTGGGTGGTGAGGAGCCAGAGCCCAGCCTAAAGGAGGGGCCCTGTGGCTTGGTAATGGAAGGACATCTTTTCAAACGAGCCAGCAATGCATTTAAGACCTGGAGCAGGTAAGAGGGTAGCTGTTCCAGGTAAACCACCAACTGAATGTTCTCACAGCAGGGGTCAGTGTGTGGAAAGCACAGGACACCCTCAGCAAAGACAAACACAACACCTGAGTAAGCTGAAGGTCACCCCATCTATAGAGTGAGTCCAGGACAGCCGTGGCTAGAGAAAGCCTGTCCACACACACACACACACACACACACACACACACACACACTGGTTTAGTGTGATGACAGCTGTAAGCTCAGCTCTATATAGCGGCTGAGGCAGAAAGATTTTTTAATTTAAGGTTTCAGGTGAGGCAGTTCCAAAGCAAAACCCTGTTTAAAAAGGGGGCAGATGAAAAAAATGAAAGGGGTAATATTATAGAAGAAAAAATACAGCAAGGGTAGAAAGGGTGAAATTTATTCTCATTTCCACCCTGGGGGGCGGTGCTGAGGACTGAACTCAGGGCTTTGATCATGATGCCTGCAAACCTGGCACTTCAGAGAAGGCAGGAGGAATGGAAATCTCTCTGAGAACAGAACTGTTACTTTATCTTGAGGCCTTTTTTTTTTTTTTTTTTTTTTTTGACAAATATCATGTAACCCAGGCTATGTAGCTAAGGATGACTTTGAACTCCTGACCTTCCTGCCTCCACTTCCTAAGAGCTGAGATTGCAGGAGTGTACCACAATGCCAGGCTAAGAGAGTAGCTTCCGAGCCAAGGTTTCAAGGGTATTTGAGGGCAGAATGTTGTAGGCAGGATGGGTTAAGGATGGGGAGTATCCCTGTTTGGAAAACAAGCCACCGGCCTGGACAGGGAGAGGGAGGAAGAAGTTGAAGCTGCAGGGTCAGGGAATCCGTCCAGGACTTTTCGGACACTGGTCAGGCTTTGAGGGCTGCTCTGAGGAAAATGGGGAAGACCCACAAGCCTTGAAACAGGGTGCTGTGTCTTGGCTGTTGGATCCTGCAGAACCAGTAGCCCCTTTGGGACCTTGGTACAAACTAGAAAGGGAGCCCTTTCCCCAGCATAGTTTCACTTGTCAAAAACTTAGCAGTAACCCTGGTGTAAGCAGCAGTCAGGAGGGTTACACTTTTGAGGTCAGCCTGGACGACTCTTGAGGCCATCTGGGCTATGTGGCAAGATCCCATCTCAAACAACAGTAGAAGTGAGAGTGGTTTCAGTGCCCTCCTGACCTACCCGGAAATAGTGTTCCCCACCGTGTTACAAATGTTACCACCTTGTGTTGGGCTGGGGAGATGGCTCAGCAGTTAAGAGCACTGGCTGCTCGTCCAGAAGACCTGAGTTCAATTCCCAGCACCACATGGTGGCTCACAGCCATCTGTACTGGGATCTGGTGCCCTCTGCTGGCATGCATGGGTACGCTCACAAACGTTGCCTCCCGCTGCTGTCCCCTTCAACACTGGCCACACTAGAAATAAAAGAAAGGAAAGTAGGTGTGGTGGCACATGCCCATGGGCCTAGGCATTGAGGTGGAGGGAGGCAGAAGAACTGGGAATGAGGGCTAGCCTGGCTGCCGTGTGCTGGAGTGCTGTCCACTCTGGGTTGTTTTGAGGTGTGAAGAGCCTCCCTTAGCTGTGCGCACCTTCCCACTGTTGTCTGGAACGTCTCTTGGGACCGTCAGCCAGCTACTTAGGCAGAGAGCACAGTTTGTCTCCATCCCCATGCTGCCATGCATCTAACCGATTCCGTCTCCTCCAGACGCTGGTTCAGCATTCAGAACAACCAGCTGGTTTACCAGAAGAAATATAAGGTGGGTAGGTCCTCAGGGCTGGGCTCCAGGGAAGCTCAGCCCTGGCTTACTCCGGTCTCGGCGCCTTCCTCGCTGCCTGCCAGGACCCCGTGACCGTGCTGGTGGACGACCTGCGTCTCTGTACGGTGAAGCACTGTCCAGACTCAGAAAGGCGCTTCTGCTTCGAAGTAGTGTCCACCAGCAAGTGAGTGCACTCCCTGAGGGTGTAAAATGTCTGAACAGGCAGGGCCAGCCACCGAGTGTGCAGGCCCAGGGCCGCAGCAGGGAGCCCGGGCTGAGAGCACAGGAGATATTTTGGGGGTGCTGCCCTTTGCTTCAGGCGCTCCACTTATGAGGGGGGTCATATTCCAGGAAGTTCTTCATCAGTTGAAAAGATATTGAAGGGCTGGAGAGACGGCTCGGAGGTTAAGAGCACTGGCTGCTCTTCCAGAGGACCCGGGTTCAGTTCCCAGCATCCACATGGTGCCTCACAACCATCTATAGTGAGATCTGGTGATTCTTTCTGGTGCACAGGCACACATGCAGGCAGAACACTGTATAAATAAATCTTTAAAAAAAGAAAAGATATTGAAAACATACTGTGCACATAGCTTAGCCCAGACATTACCTCTTTTACAATAAAGTGCCATTGAACACTGAAACTCAAAATCACAATGGTTGTATAAATACACCTTTGTGCATTAATGTTGAAAAATAGTATGTCAGGGACCACCTGGATTTCAGCATAGCTGACTGCCAGGCATGGCACACACCTGTAAGCCCAGCCCTTGGGAGGAGAATCTAAGTGTGAGGAACAGAGCCGGTCTCAAGGTTAAACGGGCACTTGCTGCCAAGCTTGATTACCTGAGTTCAATCCCCGGACCCACAAGATGGAAGGAGAACACCAACTCCACAACATTGTGTGTGGATGCACACGAATACACACGCACATTTATAATGTAGCCTTTTCATTGTTGTGTGGCCCTGGCTGCCTGGAACTCACTCTGTAGACCAGGCTGCCCTTGAACCCAGAGATCCACCTGCCTGTGCCTCCCAGTGCTGGGACTGAAAGTGTGCACCACCACCGCCCAGCTAATGTAGCCTTTTTAAAAAGCTCAAGGCCTGCCTGGCCTCCAAGTCTGAAGTCAGGCTGGGCAGTTTATCAGACCCCCTCTCAAATGGAAATAAAAACGGTTTGACTGTCCTGCAGAGGGAGTGTTTACCTGACATGCTCAAGGCCTCAGGCCCCATCTGCAGCGGTTAACTCTGTACACACAGCTGGGCAGCAGCTGAGTGTCAGCTTGCCCACTCTGCCTCTGTCACCACCTCCTGCAGGTCCTGCCTCCTCCAGGCCGACTCAGAGCGTCTCCTGCAGCTGTGGATCAGTGCTGTTCAGAGCAGCATCGCCTCAGCCTTCAGCCAGGCCCACCTCGAGAACAGCCCTCGGGGGCCAGGCCAGGTACCCTACTCTGGACGCTGGGGGCCATGCTGCCCTGGGAGGCGGAGCCTCGCTCTAAGGCCCCTGGCTCATTCTTTCTTCTGTTGTCTCCCTTAGGTCTCAGGACACCTTGCCTTGGGCTCTGCGGCTACTCTGGGCGGTGGTGGGCCAGCCCGGGGAAGGGAGCCTGGGGGGACTGGGCAGGTGGCTGCCCAGGTACAGAGCGTAGACGGGAACGCGCAGTGCTGCGACTGCAGGGAGCCAGCCCCAGAGTGGGCCAGCATCAACCTGGGGGTCACGCTCTGCATCCAGTGCTCCGGCATCCACAGGTCACTCCCCAAGACCGCCGCCTAGCCCTGAGCCCATCGAACGGCTCCTCCCCGCCACAAGGCTCCGCCCCATCACAAGGCTCCGCCCCATCACAAGGCTCCGCCCCATCATAAGGCTCCGCCCCATCATAAGACTCCGCCCCATCACAGGGCTCCGCCCTATCACAAGACTCCGCCCTATCACAAGGCTCCGCCCCATCACAGGACCCCGCCCTATCACAAGACTCCGCCCCAACACAAGACTCCGCCCTATCACA